GAATGTCTGCACGGCGTTTTATACTGATAGAGATAGTAGTTCCAAGGTCCACAACTCATCAGATATACAGGTTTGAGCTCCCCTATTTGAAAAAACAAAATTAAATAAGGTAAACTGGCTGAAGTAAGGATAAAAGGCCCTGGGCTCGAAAGAAATGCGGCATTACGAGCTATTCGTCTGTTTGGTTTGGAATTATCATGCGTTTATTAGATCTCAACCTCCCATGATTTCTATGTTAGTTATCACCACTCCATATTATTACTCGCTTGGTGCAGGAAACATTTCAAAAAGAGGAGAATGAAATATGGCGCTATCAGGATCCCACTGGAAAAATCCAGGGGCCATTTTCTATGGCGCAACTTCGCAGATGGAAATCTAGTGGACATTTTCCTCCGTATCTAAGGATTTGGAGAACCCATGAAAAACAAGATGACTCCGTGCTTCTGACTGATGCTCTAGCTGGACGGTTCAATAAAGCGAGTTTTTTATCAAGTGCCCCACTGCCATCTGAGGAACTAAAACTGGCTTTTGACTTGGGCAAATCAGCAGGCTTAGATGTGAATGCCAGTTCTGATAAAGGTGACAACAACCTTCTCAAAAACTCTGCTGCTAACAACACGAGTACAAACTCCTGTTCTCCCTCTCATGTCGTCCATGCTGCTGTTAACAATCAAAACGAGACACAAGCAGAGGGTATTATTGTATCTGGCATTGGAAAGTTAGCGAGTGGTAATGCTCTTCAGCACCTGCCTCCTCAAGCCAGTTGTTCACAATCATCGTCTGTGATTCTGGAAAATACTGTTGCACATGAGGTAAGAGAAATTCCAGGATCTGATTTATCCAATGCTGTGCAAACAAATGGTAACCATGGCCCGGTTAAGAACACAAAAGACAGCATGCACGCTGGTTCTGTTTACTTGCAGGGTTCTGGTCATGCACCAAACCTTAATCAGGAGATTCATTTCCTGGATTTTCCCAGTCCTACACCAAAGTCTAGCCCTGAAGACTTGGAAACTCAGGCGGCCGAGACCATACAGTCCTTGTCTTCATGTGTTCTTGTGAAGGGACCATCTGGTGTCACATGGGCTCCTTCAAGTGTAGTGGTTGATGGAGCTCATCAGCTTCCACAAATACCTCAGCAAAACAATGATGTTATGACTGCACCCGCAGAAAATCCAGTTGAAAACATTGTCGTTACGCAGAATTCTGACAACACCCAAGTGGCTCATTCATCTGGATGGCCAGCCATTGTGGCTGATCCGGACGAGTGCGATGAATCAGTTTCAGATCTCTTGGCCGAAGTCGAAGCCATGGAACAGAATGGTTTGCCCTCTTCCCCTACATCAACGTTTCACTGTGATGATGACGACTTGACAAAAGGGCCTGAAAAAGACTTCTTCCATCCTGTGGCACGTATGTCTCTTGCGGATCAGATAGACACTCAAAATGTAGCTGGTGAGAGATCCTCACCGGCCTCAGATTTAAAGGAGAGCTCAAAAACTATGGATGAGCTGCCTCAGGTCATTGGCCCAGAGCTTCCGCTGTTTGCACCACCACCACCACCTCCACCATCGGCATCTATCGGACATGACCTGAATCTGAAAACAACAGCTCTAAGACTGGGATCAGAAGCAACAGCTGAAGCAGATACAGTGGAGAAGTCAGGTAATGGGTCAGGCCGTGGGAACACCGAACGCAGCCCATGGGGAGAAGGTCAGCAGCAGCAGAGGTATGGGGGCGGAGAGAGAGAGCGATCCACAATGGGTCACAGGGAAAGGCAATGGTGGAACAATGGTAGTAGTGCTACTAGTCACAGCCATACTAATAATAGGCAGTGGCCCTACAGCAGTCGCCATGGCCACAGTCAGAGCGCATCATATGCTGCAGCTCGTCCCCCTAAAGGGCTGAGAATCTGTAAATTCTATGAAAGCGGCTATTGCAAAAAGGGTGCTTCTTGTAGTTTTTGGCATCCCTAATTGATTTTTTTTTTAAAAAAAAAATTGATTTAACCGTTGAGATATGGGGACAATATAGTGTGTTTTGGAAGCTCCTTGGCTGATTCAGCCGCGTAACTGTACAATTCGTTTCAGTTGTAAAAGTAATGTTACTCAAAGATTTCATTTTGAGATCGTTTCTAGCTCTGCAGCGCATCGTGTGGATCCTCCCGGCATGTTCGAGAATGGCAAATGTGAAGGTAACGTTTTTATGTGCTTACAGACATCTAACTCTTACAGCCGTTCCAGTGTAACGTCCAGAAATTTTGGCCTGCATATGCATGTTGCGACCTCTTTAGTGTAATGTGTGGTTGAAAAGTTGTTTGATGGATTGGTAATAGATATTATTAGATTAAAAAATGTTAAGCATCATTACATTACGAGTTAAAATATGCTTGCGGATGCAACAGTGTCAATCTTGTTGGTCCGTCCACGCAGTCACGAAACGAACGACAACTTTAATATTTTATTTTGTTTGAAATAGAAGATTTGTACGAAAACATAACATTAAGAGGAGAGTGCAAATTACAACAGATTAAAATTAGAAAAGCAAAATAATAAAAGGAAATACAAAGGCGCACGTTTTCATCTTCCTCTCTCCTTCCTTTTCGACGGTGTGGAGTCGTATCAGCATCCGCTTCCCGAATTCCGAGGGATAATCAGCGAATGGCCGAAAGAGCAACCCCCTTCCTTCATAATCCCCAACTCTGATTTTCTCTGCATTACTTCTTCCCCCATCCTCTAAAGTCTATGCGCAGATTGAATCCTTAGGCAATTAGAAACTCTTGTCCTTTGCTTCCAGTTCAGGTGTTCCATTCGTCATCCGCCTCTTAATCTTCCTTTTTATTTGGAGAATCTCGATTTCTCTAGGGACTAATTTTGGGTCCATTTCAATTTCTAGGGTTCTTTTTATTTCTTCTGAGAAGCGTTTGGATCTGTTCATGGCCGCTTACGCGGCTTGCCTCCGCGTTGTACGATTCGGAACCAATCCGGGCGTAAATTTGTCTTCTCTGAGATCCCTCGGTGCTCCGAGCTTGGCTTCGCTTCCATCCGACAGGTTTCTGGCGGATCAACCAGATATCCGTCCATCGGCTTCTCTGGCATCACATTTTTCCTACAGACATTCCTTATCTCACCCGAGATCTATATCTCAACTCGTGAAATCCAATGGAAAACGCTTGTTTCTGGTTGATACGTTAGCCCTGGTAATTATTTCACCACCCTTCTTCCTAATGATTGGGATACATGAGTTGAGCAGTATGCATGCACTCCTTAGATATAGGCCACTGCCGAGAAATTTGCGAATATTATCAGCCATACTTGTATTTGTTTGATGTTCGATGTTTGGTAAAAGCATTGCTGCTTATGTACCTTCTAGCTGTTTGGAGTTAGAGGTCAAAAAGAATATCTCTGTATGTTGAATTCTACAAGATTCAGGATTTGGTAGTCATAGATCCTGTATAATACCAAGTGTTTGGCATTACTGCCATGTGTTTTCAATTCGTGAAGAAATTTGTAGAAGAACACTTATATTTGATCAATTTGAAAATTTCAGAAGAAATGCAATGTTTGGTTGGTAAATGGTTCCTCACAGCTTACGTATCTTCTTTGTTTTTGGCGTCTGATGATGCTGCATTGGTCAATACATGGACTTGAACAATGCTCTCGAAGACCCAGAATATGGAATCGTCTAGGATTCAGGTTTTTGGGGGTGGTTGTTATGTATCATCTATCAGGCAATTCAAGGGCGGACTTGGATTTTTGATTTCAGGTCAGGAGGTTAGAGGCAGAAGGTCTGCCCACAAAGCAAGCCGAGGCAATAACTAGTGCCATAACTGAAGTTCTTAATGAGAGCTTGGGAGTTGTTTCCCAGTTGGTTGTTTCAAAAGGAGACATGCAGAAAGTAAGTTCTGATCCAGCGATCTGTAATATTGGTCTGCTTCATTTCATATAGCTGCACAAAATTTATGAATTCAAAAGGATTGTTACCTGAGTTATTGCAGACATTCTAACTATATCTTCTTACCCTTTTTTTTGTAGACTGAAATGGTCCAAGAATCAAATTTGTCCAAGTTCAAAAGTGAAATCCACAGCTCACTGGTAAGTTTTGGTTTTTCAGCCGCCAGTCCTTTTGTTTCAGGAGATTTCATGGCGCACTAAATAGAGCCGTATTAGACACAAGTTAGGTTCTTGGAAAACCGGAGAAGCATGCTCCTAAACATGTGTGTAGGATTTGGACGTCCTTGTTTCTGAGGATTGTAAAAATAAAAATGATGATGATGATGATGATGATGATGATGCAGGAACACCACTTCTCATCGCTGCAACATGAGAATGAGAAACTGCGCCATGATATAGAGAGAATCCGTACTGACTTGAGGTCAGTCTTCTTGAAGGACATGCATATTTAGTTGAATGAAATCGAAACCTATTCAAATTAATAGGATGCTCTTCCCAACTGCAGGCACGAGATTGACAAAGTCACTGCTGGACAACGGTTGGACCTGAATCTTGAAAAAGGGTCAGAAGAAAGAATTGTTCTGTCATTTTTTCCAACGGAATGGAATGGAATTAGTTCTGATGATGTTTCTTCTTCTGTGGGATTATGTATGTATGTATGTATGTATGTATGCAGGAGGATAAGGGATGAGCTGGCGAAGCAAAACTCAGAAACCTCAAACCTTACAAACAAACTGGATCGGGTGAGAAGGAGACACATTTGACATTTGTTGAGTTTAATTTTTGAAGGAGTTTTGCTGAATCTGACAGATACTGAATGCATTTGGCTCAGGAGATTCACACATTGAGGGCTCAGTTAGAAGCAGCAAAGTATGAGGTTATCAAATACTGTATCGGTTCACTTGTCTCCATCTCCGCCGTGGGCCTCGCCGTCCTCCGCATCCTCATGTAGCCTCCTTTTTGATGGAGCTCTAACTTTTTGTTTCTATTTTATCAATGTATCCATTCACCCCTTTTTCTTCCTGTCATTATCTGTACATTTTATAGATCCAAAACTGTGGGAGTATATTTTATGTATTTGCCGATTACTATGTGGATGTGTGAGGGATTTCGCTCCAACCATTTCCAGTCGAAGTATGTCTTTCCAAGTCGGAGTAAATTCCCAACTGTAACACACCCTTTGGTTATTGAAACATAACGACCGATGTAATGTACGTATCGAAACATTATGTAAGGATTTTCTCCTTTTTGGAAGACATCGCGGTGCTTCTCCGAATGCTGGTGGTTCATTCCGAAGTTTTAAAGTCCAACTAGGGTTTTTTTTTCAAGACAAAACCATCCCATGTAATGTGATGACTCGGAAAGATGGACATCTTAGTAGCTGATTCCAGCCATAGGGAATCAGACACGTGTAATTCTGAAATATGAAAAATTCGGAGGCGTACGCGTAATGGCGTCACGAAATTGCAAAGACGGAACACTCTTGCCACGCCACGCGCATGGTGGACGCCATTACGTTGAATTGTCTTCCTCGTCGAATCCCAATCGCCACGCCACCGGAAGGCAATCATCTCCGGTCAGGCCAATACGATGTCTTCCTGAGCATGAGGTCTGGGTTAGCGCGAGGTTTCCCTCTTCGACGATCCTTTGCTTACCCGTCGATCACCGCTCTCCACTGCCCCAGATCTCGAGAACAGCCGCCAAAGACTCCCTCCACCATGGCCACAAAGAGTGGGAATCCGGAAGAAATTTCGGCGGAGGAGGAGGAGGAAGAGAAGAAGAAGGCGTCGCTCCCTCCGCCGCCTGAAAAGCCGGAGCCTGGCGATTGCTGCGGCAGCGGTTGCGTCCGCTGCGTCTGGGATGTCTATTACGAGGAGGTCGAGGAATATAACAAGCTCTGTCGATCCATCTATGGAGAATCCAAATCCGATTGAGTCGATTTCTGATTACTTGGCTCTATTTTTTCTTTCCATCGTGTGAAAAAGAGGTGTAACTGTTTTCGATTTCTTGGGTAATTGTTGAACGCTTTAAACCTAAATTGATTCGTATGAAACTATTTATATAATTTTTGGTTATAGTTTCTGAGGTTTGCAGCCCGGAATTTGAGTTTGGATAGCCTTCAATCGATTATTTCCCGATTGGTATACTGGGGTTATATGTTTTGGCGTTCTTTGTGGTTTTGCTTTGTGTGAAGCTGTACTGCATGGCTGCCAAACGCCATTGATAGCGGGGCTTGATCTTAGAGGTATTTGTCTTTGTTCTCTCTTCTTCATTCGTTACTCTGTGGAGTTGTACCCAAGATAACCTCTTTCTTCCTGGGATATCCTCAAATCCAGTATGAGCCTTCTGGAGTTTGTCGGTTGCCAAGTTTTTGTAAGTGGAAAAAGCCACATTGGTGGACCTTGTTGTAGCCTTTTGTTCTAAATTTCGTTTTTTTATTGTTCTGTTTTCACCCATTAATCTTGCTTGGTGGCAACTCTGGCTTCTAATTTACATTCTTGCTCATTTATCTTGTTCCAGACATTAGAGCTGCTTTGCAGAGTATTGATTTGGGAAGAGGAAAAGCGGAATCATGTGATGTAGGAGAAGGAATACAAGATTTTGATGAAATCTTGTGATGATGCTCTTAAAAGCATCAGTGACCCCTCATTAACCATGTCGCTAGCATACATTTCTTTCACGAGTGTGCCTTACTTTTCTGATTCCATGGCTCATTCGGGATAAAGATCGAAATCAATGTAGAACATGAAATTTACTTTTAAAAAAAAAAACTGATGTTGATGTTCTGATTAGTCTAGTTTCATAAGTGTAGTGCTATTCTTTTACTGAACTCCTTGCCCAGCTTCTGCTGCTAGCAAGAAGTTTTTGGTTTACAGATATGAGCGAATGATGTATCATGAGACTACTGTGCTATTGGAAGTCAAGAGGAGGAAAATCATTGTCTTTCTTTCAGGAAGAAGCTTGGGTTGCATCTGGTCTCCAGAATCCTTTTTGTGCGCTTAATATTCCCTCGCGGTTCTTGGAGAAGGTTAGGTGGACGTCCCAGTTGAGGGACTTCAACAGAGTTTCAACTTCCCTGACAATGTTGGACTCATCGCGAACAATGAATTTACCTCCTGGTCGAACAATTCTATCGACTTCTGCCATCACAGGAGCAAGTTTGCACCTTCAAAGAGGATGAGGACGTTTAGGGCTATCAAATGGTGCTGATGCAAATATATAAACGAAAGAAATGAAAAGGAAAGAAAGCATTTTATCCCTACCGCTCCTTCAGCTTAGAGAAAAGATGATCTGCATGCAGGAGATCATAGCTTCGAGGGTATGTGCTGAAAGATTCACACCAGTCATGGTAAATTCCAAACAGCCCCCTCTCATAGATTATCGGCAGTGTGTCTGGCGAATTTATGTTAACTACATTCATGACCCAGACCTGCAGGTCCCTTAGAGCTGCTGCAAAACTGCAGAGAATTGTTTTTTTAGTTTTAATGATCTTAAACTTGCTTGATCTATTTATGTGTGAGCCTTTAATGCTTACCCTCCGTAGACAGCTCGCATGTCCATTACATTTCTGACATTAGACCAGCTGATGCCTAATTCGTTCATGTATACCTTGCTAACTACTTGCTTCCAGTGCTCATAATCTGTTGTGAAGTCCTGAGGTGCTGGTTTTCCATAGATCCCCATTTGAGAGCTGTTTAGCCAATAAGGAGGTGCTTGAAGCCTACGAGGCCAGTCCACGGGCCATTTGCTCCCTCTTTCAACTGGATTGATGGGCACCTTATGCATGCATGCTTGTAGAGGTACGTACCTGAAATTTACGTTTAAACTATTGACTTTTGGTGTTCGAATTCGATCAGAGCATTACATACCATTCTATATGTCAGAAAGAACATTTTCCTTCATTTTATTATATGAAATCAACCGTACCAGGCTGCATTGGCATCATCGTCGTTTTTGCACATCGGAGGCTGCTGTTGCTGTCTTTTTTCATAGCATTCATTCGAGACAGGTTTCCGGAAGATGGCGGCACCAACACCATTGAGTTTATCCTTGTTGATAGTCACAAGATCCCAGCACATGGATTTTGTCAACGAGGACATCTCTGCATTTATCTCATGACATATACAGAATCTTTACCGAACCAACCAAAAAAATGCAACTCTAGTTAAAGCTTATAAGCATGGAGGTTTTTCAAGACCGAACCTTTCCAGATTTGGACATCTTCTTCAAGCTTCTGGTAGACTGGAGTAGCAGACCACACAAAATAACCACCTGGACGGAGAAGCCGGTTCAGTTCCAGAAGAAGCAAACCGCCTTCATTGTGCCAGGGGACTCTACAACGGGCACAGTGGATGAGATCAAACACTCGGCTTGGGAATGGGAGCCGTTGAGAGCCCATTACTGCAGAGATGGCCGGGATCCTCCTTTCGAGTGCAAACTGAACCTGAGCCTCGTGTTCATCTTTTGGCGCTAAAGACATAGCTAGAACATCCCTTTCAAAGAGGTAACCTCCAAAGCTTGCCACTCCACATCCGACATCCAGTATGACCCGGGTGTGTTTACCCCACCCAATGCGTTTCAGTGACTGTTTTCATATACATAATGCTATCAAATGTTGCCCTCAAAAGATTGTTACTTTTTTTTTTTTGTGCAGCCTAAAAATTATATAAAATGAGTTCACCTGCTGAAGGAAGTCAATATAGTGGAGAGCGCCGTGGATGAACTGTGTTCCGCCACCAGGAAACGTCAAGAACTCGCCGGTCACCTTAACCCAGTTCTGGTGTCCTTTTACCTCCGCCAGCTTTGTGTGTGGTACGTTATGGTACCATATCTACTAGATCACAACACAGGTAAATCAACTTTAAAAAAAACAAAAACAAAAATCGATCTGTTCCTTCTCTTAACATCTGGATTGAATCTTTTATACCTTATCTCGGCTGTCCGGCCACTTGATGGACTCCTTGTACCCCTCTGGAAGAGGGGCCAGACATGTCGGTGGGTCCTCCGGGCAATGCCTCTCTCTGTGCTCAAAGTGTCGTCTGCTCCTCAGTTTCATTATAGCTTCTTCGTTGTCTAAGCATGGGATGTAATCAGGACCAGCAGTGGTATTGCACAGTTCCCATGCTTTCACATCCAACTTGCTCTCCCCACTATCCAATTCGTCTCTCTGTCTCTGTTTCTCGTTTTTAGATTCAGTCGCCTGAGTCTTCCAAGACTTCTTCGACTCTGGAGACTCTTTGGGTATCACTGAGTTTCCTCCTCCTGGAAAAGATTCCCCTGAGCCAGAAGAAGCCCCTCCTGCATCTGTCCCCTTCTCCTCCTCCTCCTCCTGTTGTTTCTTGTTTGTCTGCCCATCTTCTTCTTCTGGCACTGTGCTCTGTTCCGCCTGTTGTTGTCCATTATCCGTGTTCTGTTGTGTCCTCCCGTTTTCATCTGTCGTCGTGTTCTGTTCGTCTTCCTGCACATTTTCCTCTCTTCCCGAGCTTGGATCCTCCTGTTGTTGTTGCCCGTTTTCTTGGTTCTTTGCGTCATCTGATGATGTCTCATTCTGAGACACCCCTTTCAAGAAGCCATGTTCAGTGGGTTGCTCATCCCTGGTTGAATCCGTGAACGTAACCACCTCAGAGTTGGAGGAATCCAGATCATGGCCTTGTTTCTTTCCCTGTTCCAACACGTCTTGTCCTTGCGTGCCCTCATCCTCTTCTCTCTGTTCCCGCTGTTCTTTCTCGTACTCCTCCTTCATCACCTGTCCCTTCTCTTTCTCGCTGTTCTCCTTCTCTTTATCACCTTCGTTATCTTCCTCGCTCTTCTGCTCGGTCTCTTGTCTGGAACCCTCTCCCTGCCTCTGTTTCTCCGCCACTTCGGCGGCAGAGCCTTCGTTCTTATCCTTGGACTCGTCCGACATGATGGCGTCGTCGGGGAGCTTGCCGGGATTGTCTTCGAAGACGGGCTGCTGTTCATTGCTCTCAGTGACGGAAGCTGTTCGGGTGGAGGCACGTGTTATCTGCGGCGGAGTTACGCTGTTGGACGAAAGCATCCACACACCAATCACGCATAGTGCCACGAATATTACCGTCGTAACGGTCGACGCGTACGAGGTTGTCGCACTCCGCTTGTTCCCTCGAGTTTTCCCAACCGCCATTCTTTTTTTAGCGAAAATAAAAGGAGAAAAATGAGAAATACAAAAATTGAGTTATAAAAAAAGTGGCAAAAACACTAGAAATATAAATGGACGCGAAGAGAGGTGGAGGTGTTTGCGGAGTGTGAGCAAGTTGACTTGATCAAAGATCCTACGGAGTCGGGCATTGCCTTCCTTAATCTGTTAACACTATAAATTTAGGCACATCTCCTTTAAGCACGGGGGTTATTACTAGCTATCATCTTATACCTATTCATTATATATATATATATATATATGTTTATTTGATTAGTTTTTATCAGTTCCTATGATAATTTAATTAACAAGCGGAATTGGGTCTAGTTTTGACTTTTCAATTTGTTAAACCTTTAGCTTAATTCCAAAAGTTCTTCTCTTCTCAATTTAAAAACCTCAATTATCGAATTCATATCGTTTTAACATTTTTAGGAATAAGAAGATCGTAGATGCATTGATTTTTTTATAAAAATTTCGTCCGATTTATTTCTCTTCTAATTCTTCAAAAAATATGTTTCTTTTTTTTTATCAAAAAAGACCTTAAGTGATCGAATATTAGTTAATTTTTATAGTTTTAGATTTTGAGATCCGAAGAGTTCATATAAAATAGAGAATATAAAATTTTAAAAAAAAAATCATTCACGGTATAAATATTGACATCAAAATTTAAAAATCATACAATCACATGAATTAAATACATTATGATATATATAAGGGTATTATCAAAAATACCCTTTTCTAGATATGACTATGTAACCATAATTATAATATGATATCATATTGGTTATAACATTAGATTAAAAAATAGAATAAAAGTGTACATATATATTAACTTTATTTATAACACTCAACGGACCCTTCGTAAATCCTTACAGTTTTCCCAAAAAAACAATTCTGCGAATTAAACATAATATAATATAAAGGAGAACAATTTATTTTATTCTTAGTTTTTTAAAGATATTATATCTTTTTTAAGGTGGAATAAAATAAAGAGATTAGTTTCTCATATTGGTAAGGTTAACAGTCTTCCCGTAAATAAATTAATAAATAAATATGTATCCATAAATATATATATATATATATATATATATATATTACTTACAAAGAGTACACAGAAACATGTGTTTTTATATAATGCTGCCAAATAAAAATGTTGGTTGGATCCGCAACATATCAGAACTAAACGGTGAGCAGTGCTTGTTAATGCATATTTAAAACTTTAAATAAACAGAATGGGCAGGTCTTGTCGTCTGCGCCTTTTTTCTGTCTGAATCAATCGTTTCATTCCTTTTGGGAGTGCTCCTGTGTGTGGACCCCATGTCCTGTCCCCCCTCCCCTACACATGTCACACAGCTATTGGTCTATCGGAGCGATGCTCCGTGGTCCCACGCGCTTATGTTCCTGTTAATATTGATATTCTGCTCTCTGTGCATATCATTGTACATGGGAAAACGAAGCTTAAAGTTTTTTCTAGATTTGGATCATATTGGAGGCCCAAACTTTAGATTTTGAATTTATATAAGGTCATGTTTTCTGATCAACTTGTTTGAATATTCAATAAATAAATATGGTATGGGGGGGAATATATGCGGATTAAATCATGATTATAGATATATATAAGAGGCAAAAGACGTTGATGGGTTCTGAATGGAAATATACAGATGAAAAAAAAACAAAGGTGGGAAGGTGGTGGTACCGAGGAAATCTCGGGGACAAATCAGCCGAGTGGACCAAATTAATGGCAGGGCTTTGGGTTGGGTTTCATGGGACCGAATCAATAATTTTATGCGAAATCCCAAAGAGACAAAACCCTTCACATTTGCATTTAACTGATATAATAAATAAATAAAAGAATGTATACCTTGGTTTCTTTTTTTGTCTTTTGGGTCCCCACTTTTTCCCAAACAAAATCCGAATTTCGAGTTGCTGCACAAACCCTAACTAGATATATTGATTGCCGAGGGAATATATATATATATATATATACACGAGGTGAAGGTTATGAACTTGAGAAATAATAAGCACAAATTAAACAGCTTTTTTTGTGTATGATGAAATATACGATTTTCTAAATTGGAAACAAATGATTTCAAAATTATTATTAATAGGGAATGTGACGATAAAAAAAAACACATTGATGAACCAGAGGCCGTGTATATAAGCAATCATTCGATGAGAAGAGAAGGAATTTGCCAATTGGATGATGAAGGGGGGAGAGAGAGGGGCAGACTGAGTAAAAAATACGACTAGAGAGTTCTCAAACCAAATATATATGTATGTACATATGTATATATATATATATATATATATATATATGTAGTCATGTGCAGATATGGCATTACACCTCCATTTTAATTCCTTTTTCCATTTGCTCCCCCTCCCCTCATACCATGAGAATCTGCAAATTCTCTCTCTCTCTCTCTCTCTCTCTCTCTCTCTCTCTCTCTCTCAGAGCGCATAAGTATACGGAGCGAAAATTGGTAACAAAGGGCATATGGGGAATTCATTGAGAGAGTTTACATTGTAGAACCCCTCAAGCCACATCTGCAAATGTCCCTATTGTAAGTAAATATACAGATCCATCACCACATGGCAAATTATATCATCAATAGCTAATTAATTGAAAACTTTAAAAAAGGAAAATTTGTAAATGCATGGGAGTGGACAGACCATACGGCCATAACGCAAAAGTGAGGTTGCAGACTATATATTTATGGAAAAAGTTGTATGTTCTAAAGCTTTCCTCATGCATGTATACATACAACATAACATATAAAGAAAAACATTATTTCTTAATAAACATAGTTATCTAACAATTAACTAGAGAGGCATATATATATATATATATATATATATATATAATATGAACAAGGACCCAATAAAAGCATTAGCTCCGGATTATGAGGTTGCGTGTTACACAAACAAGAAACCGACATAATGAAGCAATGAGACAGCAAGCTTTCGTGTTTGTTTATAATATTTGGCGACGATGAGCCTCGCGTTCTTCGGGGTACACAGAATCATCAGAAGAATAAACGTATTATTTGTGAATTAATTCAAAATCCGAAATGCATCGAAACTCGAGAAGAGGAAGAACAAGCAGGAGCAGGCGTCCCCAGCACTCAAATCGTCCTATCCCCCAAGACAAATGCTTAAACCCTATTTCTGTTTCTAAAGTTACTGTGTTTCTTCTGTTTGTTTGTTTGTTTTTTCTTTAAATGTCCATTCAGGATCTCGGGTTCGGAAAAAATTGCGTACCGGCCATGAACGTGTTGATCGGTGTAGGATAGAGGGCCGAAGGATCGATGTAGCCGCCATTATTGCCGAGGTTGAGGCTGGAGGAAGATGCCGCCGTTATGAGATTGAGAGGCTGAGCTCCGCCGCCGGAGGAGCTTTCGGTGGCCGTGGCCGTGCCGCTGTCAGGGCCGTGGTCGTAGAGAATGCCTTTGAAGACGTGACCACCGATGCTGACTGCCGTCTGATAAGCAAACTGGTCTTCTCCATCGATGTCGACGGAGCTCACTCTCACGCACCTGAACACCGCCGATGAACTCACTTCCGGTGGGAACTGACCCACCTCCGACCCTACCATCATCATCATCATCATCATCATCAACAACACAAATGTTGCGGTAATCGCATCTTTGATGATGCTAGATAAAAGGGTTACAAGAATTTCAGCTTATTTTCCCCCTAAATTCAGGTTATGAAACCGGCGCAGAAGGGTAAGAAGTTGAATAAAGAACACAGATACCAAGATCGGTGAAAACAGTTTGCTCCTGTCAATCCAATAGTCAGGTTTACTCCAGCACAGTACTTTCAGATTATAACATAAGAAAAAAATTTCAGCTTTTTTCTTTGGGAAAAAAAAGGCAGAAAGATAAATGGATGAGAAAAAGCTTAACAGACATGATAGGGTTTTGCCATAGAAGCGGGTTTCAATTTCAAGCGAATTATGCAATGCCTGTCGAGTTTCAAAAGTGATAAACGGCAATTATATTCGAAGATAGAGAAAACAAAAAAATGGAGCTTGTGCGGACCTGAAGTGTTAGCAGGTAAGCGAGTGCAAACGAGAGAAGATGAGTTCGCCGGCAAAGTCTCCCTCTGCCGTTTCGGAACGCTCTGCCGCTGCTGCTGAATAGCCGCGAGCTGTTGCTGGCGCTCGCGGCGTTTAGCGGCAGGGACCCACGTGCTCTTCACGTGAGTCTGGCACTCGAACCCTCGGCTCTTACAGCATGTCCGACACCTCATGTGAGCGCAGTCTTTCTTCGCCTGGTTCCCGCAGTCCTGACAGCTCACTCCGCCGCCTCCGCTAGGCAGCATCATCAGCGCAGCTCTGCCGTCCACGGCGGAGGGTTGTCCGGACATATCAATTTGGTTGCGGCCGCTGGGTCCGACGGCGGAGGAGTAAAGATCCAACCTTTGATGCTGCTGCTGGTGAAAGATGATGTCTTGCTGGTTGTGGTTTTGCCATAGCTCGAGAGTTCCTTTGTAGGAAGAAGAGATGTCTGCTACGTTTGATGACGGTGTGTTAGCGTTAGGGTTTCGGTACCAGAGCCAAGCCTCTGTTACTGGAGGAGGATTAGCGTTGGCTCCGTCGTCTTGGTTGCTTCCTCCTCCTCCGCCACCTAACGAGAAAAACCCTGCCATTTTTGCACTCCAACATCCGCCATATCACTCCGGAGTTGTTCTTCCTTTATTCAATCCCTCCGAACACCCATATCGCCATTTTTTACCTCCCCCGAAGATCTTCCCTTGTCCGGCACAAATTGAATGAATCCGTTTGATCTCCGAGGAGGGAGAAGAAATACAGCAAAATTTGATCGTATGAAATCTAGGGTTTGAGATTTCTTTAGTTACAGCTTTATCACAGCCGAGGGTCGTTTGTTGGGGTGTGGATGTATTTAAGACGAAGAGAGAAGAGAGAAGAAATCAAAGTGGTTTCTTTATCTTTATCGCGCTCTGCAACGCCGTCATGTCCATTATAATCTCTTTCTTCTGCGCTCTCTGCTCCTCCAATTTAATTCTCTGTCTCCTCTCTCTGATCCTCTTTGTTTTCTTTTTTCCTTCTTGTCCACATTGCTTCTAGCAGTGGCTCGTATAATATACTGTCGTCTTTAGAACAACACTTGTTTCCATCCGGAAGCCAAACTATATGGATCTCCAGCCGTTGATATCTCCCAGTTGGTGATCGAACGGCCAATACGTTTCCACGCACGCATGAACCCTTTGGCTCATGCCCACCGAAAAACCCGGTGCCTCATTCCTTTTTGTCCCAGTGGTATGGTGCAACAAATTTTCTAACTTACAACACATACACATATCTATATAATATAAGAATTTAATGCGAAAAAAGCTTATGCATTTCTTTTGAGCTCATGTTAATTTTGACATTGTTGTTTTAAAAAACAAAAGGAAGAGAAAATAGTTCAAATCAATTGAATAAGGAATGATCAGTAATTGTGGGCATTATTCTTTTTTACCAATTTACCGTGTGTTGTTTGCTTTTGCTTTTGGTGATGTGGCTTAAATTAAGTGCAAAAAGTTGTAGCTGGAAAGCAGATGCTTGTCCATGTGTTCCGAGGAAACTGGTTCTTATATATATATATATATATATATATATACACACTAAAATTTATTGACAGTTGATATGGACACGTAGACCTCTCTCCCATACATACAAATGTACGTACATTCATATGCATATATATATATATAGACGAAAATCGGATAAGCATAACTAATTGTGTGCGGATGATATTAGATATCTAAAGTGTTATAGAGTTAGCTCGGCATAATCATAACGGCGAATGACATTAATCATAAATGCATATGAATGTCACCCTCACCCTCACCCTCACGGTTGCCCAAAAAAAGAGGGGAAAGCGCGTGTAGAATGCAAGGGCAATTCGGAGATTTTTAAAAAAGGGTGGGGGGATAGAGTTGACTCGTTGTGTGGTGGGAGGGGGTAATATCGTCATTTAACTATTATTGATTGAGATTGCTCAGTGGCTGTGGCCGCCCTCCGTACACACACCTCCCCCACCCCCCCCGTTTTTCTCTCTCTTTCTTTTTATTTTATTTAAAATAATAAAAGATTATCGAATACGTATAGGACATGAGATTTTGTAAGATTCTTTTGGTTAGTCTCTGCTCTGGGAGAAAATTTACATTATGGTGAGGTATTCTCTTTCCTATAACATATTCATGCGAGCATATCTTATACAAATTATGTTTTGTATGAAATTTTTCTGAATTTGTACATAATGTTATGACGTTTCATGTGTGTAAAACTCGTGTATATGCAAATCGCCATTATTTGTAAATATCGTCGAAAATATGACTTGTAATCTACACGTCATGAGTGGATCCCACGAAATCCTTTGAAATGAAACAATTCAAGCAGATATAGATTTGGGGAAAATGTTTGGTATTTATTTGATATCATTAAAAAAATATATATATATATATAATGATAACTGCAAATTTGGAGTTATATACAAGGGGGGAGAAAATGAAATATGCTTTGATGGATACATGCAATCATTTAGGAATGAGAAACTGGAGGGGATGCAGTGGACATGGGACAGCGACCTGCTCTCTCAGTATTCTCTCCATGCTACGTTACAATTCTATAAATGACAAATGAATAATTTCAATCAAATTCAATTCGCGTCTAAAAACACAGTCCACCTAAATACCGACAATTACAAAATCTATAGTAACGTAAAATGGTAATAACTGATATAAACTAAATTTTCGTTCTATTTTTTGGAAATTCGGAAACTGCACATCGTCTATCTGACACGCGTTTTAAGACAGCGTCACCCTTCAAATTCTCTCTTCTTTTTCGAAATTTTCATATTATTTTTTTTTTCAAGGCCGCCCCTGAACTCGAGGCTATTTCTTTGGATGTCGAAAGCACCTCTTGGATTTTTAATAATATGCAAGGGTTTTACTTGATGTAATTATTATAGTAAAGCGGCTGAACCAAGTCATTGTTAATAGATACTATATATATATATACATATAGCAATATTTGATGGTATTTTATATATGGATATTTGGGTGGGTGTGTGTGTACGTGTACGGTTGAATTGAATTGATTCTGATAAATGCATGCATGTCGTACAAATACTGCGTATATTGTGGCTTCATAAATAAATGAGTGATTAGGAAATCAACAGTAATAAATGTGTAAATAAAATGTATAATTTGTGAGTAACGTTTAAAAAGAAGGAGATGAAAAGGGGGCCGGGAGTTGACGTCGAGGAAAAAGAGGAGGGAATGATATCATTAAGGGAGAGTCCCCAAAAATGAAGGAGTACTCGTCGTCCTTTCTCGAGCCCTGCGTTCTTCTCTCTCTCTCTCTATATATATATATATGTATGTATGTATGTATGTATGTATATGTGTGTATGTGTGTATGTATGTATGTATGTATGTATGTATGTATGTATGTATGTATGAGTAAGATGAGAGAAATACAAGGCAGAGAGACAAAGGAGGAGAGAGTAGTTGTCTTCTCACAAAAATGAAGAGAAGAGGACAAGTCTTTGTATGGTAAATTATGCTCCGTTGTTTTCTGAGAGAGAGAGAGAGAGAGAGAGAGAGAGAGAGAGAGAGAGAGAGAGAGAGAGAGAGATAGATAGATAGAGAGAGAGGCATGGTTTTTTCTGTCTCCCATTAAATGATACCAGCAGACTTGTTATTCTTTTAGCAACACACTCTTCATATATACTATACATTATACTATTATTCTTCTTCTTTTATTAATAACATATAACACTTACTGCTTCCTCGGCTCTAAAACATTATAATAAAAAAAAGATTTTGGTGGGTATTTTTTGTTACTCTCTCTCTCTCTCTCTCTCTCTCTCTCTCTCGCACGATAATGTACAAGTTTGCTTCGAGATGCATGTCTCGTCCTTCGACCGGGAGCTGCTTCGTCACATGGATTGTGTTCCCTTCTGGGTCCCGCATCCCCTCTCTATGTGGGTCCCATCAAGATACAGTTTTGGTTTTCCCTTTGGAAATCTCCATGTATAGAGTTCACGTATACATCTGCTTTTGCTGAATAATAATAATAATAATACATGCATACATACATAGAGAGGACATTTTTCTTATACGTTTGCTTGCGCGCGTGCGTCTCTACTAGTAAGTCCTACACCGATCTTTGGATGCATCTTGTTGGACGCATTAACAGTCATACGTCTACATGCATATATACGTACATGCATACGTATAAATACATGTACATAACAGTAACCAGGTTAGAATGAGCCGGACGATAACCAAGCTAAACGAACGGGTGAGATGAGGGGATGGACCTGATGAGATGAAGCATGCGGAAAAATGGCATAAAGATGGGGTGATAAAGTCCCCACGCTACACACGGATTAGGGGGTTCAAATTTCTCCCTTTGCTCGCCGCAGAAAGGACCACTCGTTGTTTTGCCTCTCCTCCATGCCTAATACTCTTTCTTAATTTCCCTATCATACCCACGATTACAGATTTATTAATAAAAAAAGGGAAAGGAATTGTACGATTAATTTGAAATTACTATGTTCCTTTTCAAAATTGTAGATTTTTTTTTCCATATCGAATATATATATATATGTAGAAGGATCAAAAAGGTCAATCAAGAAAGAGAGAGGTTGGCAAGAGAGTACGTAGTCATAGAGATGAGCCCTTGAACCTTTCTATTGCTTTTCTTATTAGAGAAAATGGATTTTCCGTCGCCTTCTCAATTTCTATAATTATGTATAGTCTTTTTTCCCAAAATTTTGATGGATTTTTTCCTTCCAAATTATAATCCAACGTATCACGAGGGATGATTCCGTTGCTCGTACGTACATAGGTTGTCTCAAAGAATCAAATGCATGCATGCATGCATACGTACGTGCATGTGGTTCTTGTTTAAAGATTGTAATGATAACAGTTATATCTTACAGACGAAATGCAAAGAGTTGATATTCCATATTGTCACATCACGTGCATATGTAAAAGTAATAGTTATAAGTTCGTTCCAAACCGCCTATGGGTACATCTATATGTATGATTTTTTTAGAGCTATGTAATGAACCATTCGACTATGGAGGAGGAAAATCATGATATGACGGTCCGTTATTCAACGTTTTTACGCGTATATAGTTTTCTTTGCTTTGCGTGCACTGTATACTATAGTTATTACTCCAAATTGTCAACCATCGTTAGCTGAATAAGATGACAGTAAATATCCATGAATACTCCATTTACATGTTTAAATATAAAAATTGAGTCCGCAAAACAAATTTTTTATTAAACATGGAATCTCACGACTAATTCTACAATATATATATACACACATATATATATATATATAAATTTAGCGATTGATATTGTAGACACCATATATGCGATTTCGGTGGTAAAAAAACTAAAGGGCGTGGCAATGGCATTGAGCCCATTAACGTTGCGAAACACAAGAAAATTATATTATGCCTTGCTGATTATGCAGACACGTAGAGGTGATCCCCATCCACATTCTTATTTTATGTATGTGATTGGAATGATAATCCCGTAAAGTGGAAACTATTATTACAATGTCAAAATTTTCAAGTAAATGCACCGACCCCCAAAAAAGTTACGTGGCAAAATCATCATCAACCCACTCTTTTTGATCCTTCGATTATAAAACCTCACATATTGTCATCATCGTGCAAATCATTACGATACTCATTGCTTCCATTGGGCATTTCAATAATTAAAGAGTGTAGGGTGGTCCAACCTTTTGTTTACACAAAATACTCTCTAGCCATTCTTTTTATACTCGAGAGTTCCAGAATCTGATAAATTCGGGGCAATTGTTTTAATTGGGTTAATAAGCAAAAAATTATATTCGCATCCAAACGAAAAAAAACCTCAAACGTGTCAGGCACTCAAACAAAGCTGGTAAATTATAAACTTTGGTTACAAGGAAATTGTTTTTTTAAAAAAGGCAAAAAAAGCATAGGCATATAAAATAGAAAGCTATTCGGTTTTGGTTAAACCAATGTTTTTTGTTACAGAAAGCCGGAAGAGGAAGAAGCTCGAGGCTTGGCTTTCATGGAGTTCAAGTGTTGGGTGACGAAAATCACACCCATGACAACTAAGAGACAGCCGACCAACGTACTGAAGAACAAAGCACCTGGCTGTCTTGTCTGAACGAACCCATAAACTCCGTTGGAAGTCATGACGATAATATCAGTCAGACCATCGTTGGAGAAGTCGTCAGTGACGAGGGCATGCGTGGGCTGAGACGGCAGCTCTATCGACGTCTTAATGCTTCCGCCAGGGGATATAACGACCGCAGCCTGATCTCCGCCAGCAAGTATCATCGGCTGATTATCGTGCAGACGCAGAGAGAACGACTTCAGGGTGGGAACCACACTGCCAGACTCCATCATCATTCCTGAAGGGGAAGGCAGATTGGACCACGTTGCTTCTGTCAGGAGCTCCCACTGCCACAACGCATCGTGGCCGTGCAATCCAGGCTTGTACGATGTTACCTGACATGATCAACGTTCCTCAAAAGGGTTTTTCATAAGCCAGCGTCCAACTGACCAACAATGGTTTAGTTCAGAGCTTTTGATCTGATAAACTCATTTCAGGTCACCCTACGGTCCAAACAATACAGACAACTGACCGACTGAATTGGTTTGACTTTTTGATTTTATCATATGGACCCAACTGAAATCGACTTCTGATCATGTTCCACAAGTACAGCCACGTAACTTGGATTTTGTCGGAATGGTCAGATGAAACCCATCTGATCAAATTCAGATTACGAAGAGAAAAGGATTACCTCGCCACGATTTGTCAAAAAGATCACATCACCGTGACTTCCCTGGCGGTGCCTGTGACCATCGTCTCTGGGGATGAGAATGGGAGTTGCAACCTCCAGAGAAGAGACGTCCTTTGTGTGAACAAAGTGCCGTGAGAACTCTCCGTACTGGAACAAGTTGAAAGGGGAGTGATGGCAAATTGAGACATTGAATAGCTGTTCACGGACAGGCACACCTGAGGTCGCCACTGCCCAGCATGGTTTCAACACTTCCATTGATCCGCTCACTACGGTTCTCTCTCCAACATTACCACCTACAGCCTAAGTCGGAGGGAAAAGACAGTCACGATATTCGGAGATCCAAAAGGGGAAATTCATTGAAGAGAGAGCTGCTTTGTCAAACAGGTACCTGTACGTGGTCCAGCACGCCGTCTCCATTAATGTCTGCATGAAGACCACCTTCAAGCAGATGAAGCTGAAGATTGGAAGAAATTCCGTAAATCAAATTTATTTAACTCACTCTAATTTGTTCTATGAAATTTTAAGCACCGTTCATGTTGTGAATTTCAAGCTGTAGGACATACCTTGCAGAGAGTTCGACCAGATGCCAAATGAATAGCTTCTATTCCTTCTTTCTGATGAGACACAACAACATTAGGGACCCACCAAAGCTGGGTGTAATTTGTTATAGTTGGAATGTACTGGATAGCCTGCAAAACCATACCCCTCTTTAAACAACCTAAATCGTTCATGTCGCAGAATTTGTTCTGTACTCTCAACCTTACCTTCTTGGATTTTGCTGAACCAGCATAGTGTGCGGCTTTCCCAATCATTTTTGGAATCTTTTTCGATGAGTCCTTCCCAGGGGGTGTGTGTTCCTCAGGCTTGTGAAACGGATAAGCTGTAGACTTACCAGATAATCTCTTCAATGTTTTCCTCTTGTGTCGTCTGAAATGAGCAAGCTTCAACAATGTATCTTCACGCCGGTCCTGATAGAAACACAATGTAACGTGAATCAGTTGACTTCACTTACTAGATGAAGAATGCCCTTATATAGATAGATAAGACCTACCCAATGATGGGGCACAACACCGAGTATCGATTCCCTGAATTCCCTGCATTCAAACTTCAGCACAACACAACTCAGAGAACCATGCATTGATAACTAACAATATGCAGCTTTGATAGGATGGTTAGAACATCGCATCTTCAATCTGATATCTTGAGCGCTAAATGAAAAGAGGCTTTGTAATGCATGATTGCCCACTAATCACTGGCGAATGGGTTCTACTGTTACCTCTCCAGGCTGACGGCTATTTATAGCGTGCACGTCAAGCTTGTAGTTATGTTGAGGAACTAAATGTGATGCATCTGAAGTCTGAGCTGCAATATCCTTTAAAGAAAAAAAAAACGTAAATTAACATATAACTCCACATCTGTTGCAGACAAAAGATTACACAATACTCTCATAACAATGTTAAATCGAATTAGGTTATAATCAGATCAAAAAGATGAACAGAAAAGGGGAAAAATGACTGACATCGGTCTTTTTCCTCCAACGAAGCACGCCAGTCCGTCCAGCGAACGCATAAACAGCAAAATGACGCAGATTCACAGCTCCAGAGTCTTCGGAGGCCTGCAAAGAAGGTTAAGTTCTTCTAAACAATTCAAATACTCAAATAAGCACCATGGAGAATGCCTAATTACAAAATTGTAATTATTTGTTTTAGCTATCGAAATGTAGATGAAAGGAAATCAAAGGGAGGCACAACTTGGATAGATACCAGAATCAGTAAGAAGAGACTATCGTATATAAACTTTGCACTATTTTTGTACCTGATTCTCAGTTGCACTCCTTCTGTGTTGCTCAGCATTTCGCGCTGCCATGCCAAGCTCCTCAAATGGGTCCATGTGATTCTAACAGCGGTTTACAGACATAATTATTATTAGTATATGTAAGTCAAATAAAAAAGAAGTTTATAGAGGGGAAAGTGCATGTTACATACAAATGGCTGCATTTCCATCCTTCCACCAACTATAACCAAACCAGTATCACCATGTTTCAAAGTATAATTGCTTATTGAAATTGCAACCTCCCGGTGGTGCGCATTATGTGGAAAATCTTCCTGCAAGTTCACCGCCATGGATAATAATCATAAGGAGAGATAATATAACAGAGAATCTAGAAATAGCGTAAAAGAAAATGAAAAGGATAAAAACCTGCAGATTTTCTTCCCACAGTTTCTTGAGGTTGTGATCAAAACAGATCACATACCAACCTGAGGTAACAACGACCAAAACCTGCTTCTGGGGTTGTCCTTGTTTATAGTATCGATCAATAACACCCGTGGCCATGGCCACTGCACGCCTACCTGAAGCGACACGGATTTTGTCTGGTAAAAGGCTGACCTCTGCAAGAACGCGAGCTTCACTAAACCCTTCATCCACACGCCTTGAATGAGGCTCCAGGACCTATCCCATCAAACAAAACAGTGAGTACTTGATCTGAAAAATGTCCTAAGTCATAATGACACAGCATAACTCCTAAGCTGCAATCTTTTCTTCAAACTTAGTATTGACTATTGGCTACCAAAATTCAGAGAAAGGCAGAAAAATGTACGGAATAGGAATATCCACCCACCTAGAATCGCGAAAAAACAAAGTAGGACAACGAATCTGTGAAGAAGGTACCTGAATTTTGGCGTCATTTGTTGCAACGAGAACCTCTTTCTTTCCATCACCATTAAGATCAGCTACAATAGGTGGGGGGAGACGATCAGCTTCGTGTTTGACCGGATACTCATCGTACAAATGGAACCATGCTTCCTTGAAAGAAAAATCACCCTCGTGCTGCAAATCAAAGAATTAAATCTCAGAAAATCAGCGGAAAGGACCTTCAGAAACACAACCATCACAATGGTATATCGGGGCAAAATCGACGAAACGGAAGCAGCACCATGGCATGAAAACTGATCAAAAGGACAAATAGCATAGATTTGAATCAATGGCTAAAGGCATGAGCCCATTAAGTACGACAGAACTTTGCCGAAACAGAAGATAATACCAAATGCTACGGCAAAACAAAACAACCCGTCTGAGAATTACAACACGTAGGTGACAAGCCAAAACTTGTGTCATACTAGCGGATCGAATAAGTAATCGAGTATCACCCAGATGAGAGAATCGGTGTTTCGTTTTAGAGACAGATCGATTAAGGGTTCTAGAGGGTTTTTGGATTCTACAACTGCAAAAGAAATTGGGGGCAAAAGTACCAGAAGAGTGAAGAAAATTGCAAAGGCAGAGAGCATTAAGATTGCCAAATCCCGTTTCCTCATCTTCGCTAACTGGATCGATGACGGATTTGCACTAGATTGTATCAGTCATCCGAGAGAGGGAACGGAGAAGTCGAGAAACAGGCAGCTCGGCTGCCCTCGCCGGTATTAATCAAAACTACGCCGTATGGCGTTGTTCGACATTTCATAGAAAAACAGCCTGCCGTTTTGACGATCCTGCCCCAAACGTTACGTCGTCTCTGCTTGAAGATTGCTGTGCAAAATTATACAAACGTTACGTCGTCTCTGCTCGGCTAAAGTCGTAACCTTTAATGACATTTTCTTCATTGAGTAGAATATGATTCTTCGATTGAAGAACCACACCCTCGGAAAACCCAAACCATCTGCTTCCTGCTTGTTTTCCTCCGTTTTCCGGCGAAATTCCCAGTCGCATGTCCGTACAAAATCCGATCACGGTGACCGTCGGGGATGTTACGAGGGAAACGCATACGCCGAAGGGAAAAGGGAACAAGAGAGGTTGTATCTGTACAAGAGCAAAGGTCAGCACCTTCTTACGAACAACAGAATCCTCGACGCCATTGTCTGTAGCTCCGATGTCAGGACGACAGACACCGTACTGGAGATTGGACCCGGAACTGGGAATCTCACGCTGAAGCTTCTACAAGCTGCCCAGAATGTCGTAGCCGTGGAGGTGGACAAGCGGATGGTAGAGATTCTCCACAAGCGTGTTGCAGAACTTGGGTTTGAAGACAAACTCACGGTAAAGTTTGTTCCTTTTTTGTTTTGCTTGTCCGTAATTTGTCTGACGAAATGCCTCACAGAAACTAAATGATATCCAAGGAGTCAAAGGGGGAGAATGATTTTGACGATAGCGGCTCTAGGTTACTGTCGATACGAAATTTCTTCAGATTAACCGAGATCTGTCCATTGAAATGCCAATGAGTAAACTGAAACTTTGTTCTGATTCTGATCTGACGGAGAATAGCTCATTTCCACTTAAAAAGTAATACGAGACATTAGCAAGGGAAAACCTTTGTTTGTTTTGTGATTACAGATCGAGAAGATAAGTTCGAACTCTCTTGTTTCATGAAGGCTTCTGAACCTTGTATAACATGCTCGATGAAATGTCTTATTTTTGTAGGTTATACAAAAGGACGCTCTCAAGGCAGAGTTCCCTCGGTTTGATCTGGTGGTTGCAAACATTCCGTACAATATATCTTCTCCACTTGTGGCTAAACTTGTGTACGGCTCCAACACGTTTAGGAGCGCCACGCTTCTGCTTCAAAAGGAGTTTGCGCAGAGGCTACTGGCAAATCCAGGGGATGCTGATTTCAACAGACTGGCTGTGAATGTGAAGTTGATGGCCCACGTCGACTTTGTGATGGATGTAAGTAAAAGGGAGTTTGTCCCATGCCCCAAAGTTGATTCTTCTGTGGTTATGATCAGACCAAAGGAAGTAACACCTGACGTGAATCTTCAAGAATGGCTGGCTTTTACCCGCACTTGTTTTGGGAAGAAGAATAAGACACTCGGGGCCACATTCAAGCAGAAGAAGAAGGTTATGGAGTTACTGAAACTGCGTGAGTGGAACAACAGTTTCGGTCTTAGTGGAGATGGGGAAGAAGATGGGTCGTGTTTGGCTACGAATCCAAGTCTGTTCAAGGAGAGGATAATCGGAGTTCTTAGATCAAGTGGGTTAGAAGACAAGAGGCCGTCCAAGCTTTCTCATGGAGAGTTGTTACATTTGCTGTCTTTGTTTAACCAAGCCGGGATATTTTTTCATGACAATACAATGCCGATGTGGATAGATCCACACGAATAATGGTAAGATTAATTTTTGTTACTCTTCTTCAACTATTGATCCTTGATGATTTTGGCTTTGACCTCGTCCTCTTCATGAATCTTCTTGGATTTCAAGAATTCGAGCAAACCCTCGAGAACTTCATCGATGGAATCATTCCTCAAGAGACACTCAGCCACATCCGCAGGAGAAACCTCAGCGGCATTAATGGCATCCTCTATCTCAGAGAACAGCCTGTGTTCTTCGATGTCCAGATAGTTTGATGCAAGAACCTTGAACCCGCTTGCTGTGCAATACGACATGTTGATGTGCATGTCCATCCGACCCGGTCTTAACAACGCACTGTCCAGTTTCTCTTTGTAGTTCGTCGTGAATATTATTATCCTCTCGTCCCCGCAGCTCGACCACAGCCCATCCACGAAATTCAATAGCCCCGACAGTGTCACCTACAAAAGATTTTAACAAAAGTTATATATATATATATTGCAATGTAATATTAACCACTTCAGAACTGCCATAGATCACGAGTTATCACCTTGCTTTGAGGAGGGTCGTCATTTTCTTGAGAGTTGGGAGGTGGTTCAGTGGCGGTCCGATCCTTGAGGTCGATGGTGCAGTCGATATCCTCAACGACAAGAATAGAGCGGTTGGCAGTGGCAATGAGCAACCTTCTCAGCTCGGAGTTGGTCCTGACAGCAGTCAAATCCAAGTCGTATATATCGAAGTTGAGATAATTGGCCATTGCAGCTATCAAACTTGATTTCCCTGTCCCAGGCGGACCGTACAACAAGTACCCTCTCTTCCATGCCTTCCCCACCTTCCTGTAAAAGTCCTTCCGCTCCACAAACCGATCGATATCCTCCATTATACTCCTCTTGAACTCTGGATCCAACGCCAGAGTCTGGAATGTGGAAGGGTGGTCGAGCGTCACCGAGATCCACGCCTCGGAATAGTTCCCGTACATGTTATCGGGGTCGAGGGTGAAGAGCTTGAGCGTTTTCGCCTTCTGTCTCATGGAAACGGCTTGTTTCACCAGGAAGGGCAAGTAAGATTCAAGAACAAGGTTCTTGAATTTCTTGTGGAAGCTCAGCTCGAAGGACCGTTCCTCCAATCGCTGGGTTGAGTTGCGGGAGCCGTTGGTTTCAACCTGACGGCAGACGAGGATCCAACGGAGTTTGACGCCATTGAAGGTGTCGGTGACTTCCTCGTCACGATCCACCGTGACGTTGAAGTTTTTGTCTTTATCTTCTTTGCTCACGTTTATCCTTCTCGTTGAAGGAGAGATCTTGGTGGCGAGATAGGTCTCGGCGGCCTTGAAGACTTCGTTGGGGACATAACCTCGGGATTCGTCGATGACTATTGTCATTTGAGAGGAGAAGTAGCCAAAGAATCGGTGGAAATAGTAGGAGACGTGGTAACGAAGCTCATCGGGCAAGTAATCGTTGGCCACTGAGCGAGCCACCATGGCGGCGGCGGCCACGGAGGTAGCGGCCGAGAGAACCATCTTGACTGTGGCCAGATTGAGTTCTGAGCCAGAGGAAGAAGTCGACGACATTGGCCTTCGTCGTATTGGACAAGTAACCGATGTGTAAGAAGGAACTTATGTTCCTTTTGAGGTTTGATGGGATTTTATGTTGGGTGGTGGGGACGAGGGAGAAATTTCATAAGGCGGAGACGCGAGGAAGCAACGCAGAACCTTTCCTCAGGCCCCACCAGAGAGAGGGAGCCATCATTGACCTGAGAATTAAAACGCTCACGAGAGAGAAGAAGATCAAACAAAAAGACTGCCCTTGACTCGTAGGTCGTCTCTCTTTTTCCATCTTTATTTATCTGTGGACTAATTAATCAAACAAAATGTTTTTTTCCGACTGAAAATTAGATGTTAAAGATTATTGGTCTTTTAATTTATTTATTTTTTATCGGGAGGGGCTTAATTTAGTTAATGGGCTCCATCATCAGCCCAGGTGTGTTGGGCCTAACACTGACTGATACCATCCTTTATTTTAGCCCATCGCAGAGATACTCTCTAATATATTATATACAACGTGGGCCTTAAAGAGCCCATGCAAACTCATTAAATTCATTTTAAAATTAAAATTTAAAAACGATAGCAATAATTGTGTTTCATTAGGTACCACTGAAGTCGGTGCTAAACAAATGATATATCGGACAGTGTGGGTGGGTGCCACTTATACTTGGCCCGCCCCTGTTTTCCACTCTCGATATGTTATCATTTGATTACCGCATTTCCCATCCGCCGAAGCCAGTGTGCATAAATGTGCCTCGTTTTCATTTAGATCTGCTCCGCACCAAAACGGGTCTCTCACCCGTGACACGTCATCTCGAAGAAATTTGTAACAGAGGAAACTATCCTGTCTAAGGGCGTAGGTGAGAGGAGGGCCCAGTTATACGGCTTGGTAGGGAATCAACACGTGTCTGTCCAAAAATCAGATGAAAAAACAAAACATGCAAGTGGTAATTAAGAGAGAGGAGAGAGAAAATCAAATTTTGTCATAAAACCCTAAGTTTGTTGATTTGATTTGATATACATATGGGAATTGGGAATGAGACAGATCGGGTCTCTCTCTCTCTCTCTCTTTTCTTCCTCGTTGATAAAGTTTTCCCCGGCCTGAGCTGTGAAGTGGGGCATAATGTTTCCAAACTATATAATCTTCAAACATGCAGCTATAATGATGTATGTCAACATCAACATCTTGCACAATTTTCCATGATTGCTTCCATGCAAAGGGTACTGTAGCTAATAACGTTTGAAAAAAGGAACAAAATCCGGCGTTTTGTTATAAATTCCTGTGAATGGAAATAATCATATGAGTGCTCCTAATCAAATGGGCAAAAGAAAAATGGAGATCTTAGAGGATCTAAGCGTGTCAAAAGAAGCGACTTTTGCCTGGCAGATATTACGGGCTTTGAGAAAAATAAAGTTACATTTATATATATTTTCATGCGTGGGTGTCTGCATGGACGTGCATATATTATACACTTTTCCTTTCAAAATTATTGCAAGATGATTGATTGCTGCGCGGCTTAACCTAAATATCATTACTATATATTTTAATATTATTAATCGCATGGACCACGACATGCGGAACAGTGAAAGTAAACATCCAATCGATCGAGACAAACGCGACTGGAAACTCCACGATCGACTTATGAGGCCATCAATCATTCCCTTGAAACATTAAGAAGGAAGCTTCCGTCGCCGGAGAGTGTTGTCTTTTCATAGCCTTTGTCCCTCGTGATTATTATAGTACGACTTCTTAATCTTCGAAACTGGTTCCTCTTCCATACAAGATTTTAATAAATCCAACATTTCGAACTTCGCTGCTTTCTCGGACTTTGAGATGACTATTTGTTTTCAGAAAGATCGGATTCAGGATTTGGAAAGAAAAAAGGGACGAACTGAATCGACGGTTCCTTAACCGCCCACTGAAACAAAAGGGTTTGGTGTGTCATAATATCTCATTGCACGAGACAAAAAAGTCTACTTCAAGTTCAAGTTTGTATCATTACTGACATACTTGAAACCAGACGAGAATATTAAAATTCCAATTTTAATAGAATAAAATAGAGTATCGTTCATAATTAATACAACAGATGAAGCGCTTATCCGTTCGAATCGCTGGAGAAATTCGATCCGAACATATATACCTAAATAGTTTTGTACGTAAACATGGCATGACATACGGTGATAACGTACGGTATCTATTTTCAAACATATTAACGGGAACTGTACAGGGAGCCAAATCCCACTCCTAGTTTCACTCGTGATTGGCACTTGAGGCCTGGTTATGGAGAACCACTGCCTGAAATTCCCGCCGATGAAACATCAACTGTTTCGCTATGAAGGCTTCGATCGTCTTCTGAAATTCCTCGTTGCTGAGTTCATCCTCCGGATAATCCCTCTCTTCCGCCTCAACTTCCTCCATTCTCCCACACTTCTCAGTCTCGGATCGTCGGAGTGACCGTTCGGCCCCAATCTCTGGACTCTGCTTCAACTTAACCTCCGACTTGCTTCTTAGGTAGATCTTCGGCTGATCCGCCCGATGATCCTCAGTTTCTGAATCCGAGTCCGTCTCGGCGTCCCTGAACGCCTGCTCTTCACACGCGTCAGATTTTGAATTTGAATTCGAGTTTGTCTCGGTCACGATCACCTGTTTATCGTCGTACAAGATCTCTTCGGTCTGATTCTCATCCGACGGCCGGGCGCGATGCTCTCCGGATCTGACGAACGCCTCGTAGAAATCAGCGTCGGCGCCGGCGGATCGATCGGAGGGCTTGGCGAGGAGAGCAATGACGATGGAATTTCCGAGGAGGAACATGAACAGAGGAGTCGAAACGACGCCGGAGAGACGGCGGAGAAACTCGCTGGAGATTTGGACGGCGAAGGGAAGGCGCGTGAATGTCCATGAGAGGAAAAGCAGAGCGATGCAGACCTCCGCGGCACGGACGACGCGGCCGATGCTCCGGAGAGAGTGGTAACGCCGCAACGCCTTGGCTTTCTCTGCTTTCACGTTGTCAAAATCAATCGAATCCATTTCTGGAACCGCGGGAGAGACAGAGATTTCGAAACTGAAAACGAAGAGAGAATCCAGGGGAAGGGCTGAGTCAGAAGAACCCTTGAGAGAACTGGACTGCCTCTCTGCGTAAAAATCTTTCTTTTATAGAATCTCCTTTCCCCTTTCAAATAATTCAACTTTTTCCCCAACTTTAATTTAAGCCATATATCCTTTATTCTCCACGAAATCGGACACATAGATGCCACTTGTCCATAATATTTAATGAACAAATTCCGATTCAATTTATTTACACAAAATTTACGTTTAGGTAGCATCTGTCGCCCAGCATCATTTTTTGTTTGATTTTATTGGCAGTCACACAAACAATGCTATATATATATATATATATATATATATATATATATATATATAT